TCAAAATGCAGGATTTGCATTAGTCCACTAGTTGGGTGATACTAATTCTTATTATTGTTAATCCTACATCCTATATTCTATGTAAGTTCACTTTTATATCACAGCGACTGGTGGTTTATTTGTATTTGTAACTGAAGATGGATGTTGGTCATCTGAAACATGTTTTGCAAACTTAAAACTGTGTGTTTTTATCTCAAAGTTATTACTCGTCTGCTCCTAGTTCATAAATGTAATTTATTGAAGTGACTTATTAACCATTTTCTATTTTTATTTTCAGACATGCTGATTTAGCTACTTTGACTAGCAAGCTTCATTATTATCCAACTTGACTCTTAATGCTACAAACATGTGGAATCATCTTGGTTTAACTGCAAACCTGAGCAAATGTGTTTTCCAGCACACCCTAACTAGTTCAAGGCATGGTGTTTTGCCCTTCTCCAATCTGTTCCTCAAAGCATTTTCAACAAGTTTGGTGTCTGAAGGAAGGACGCACTACTCTTTTATAAGGGTGCGACGCAGCATGCCGAACATTCCAATACCCGGTTATCTCAAGGATGGTTCCGTAAAACGCAACCAAATGAAAGCAGGCAGAGACCCTGTGACTGGAAGGATTGCCATACGACATAAGGGTGGGGGTCATTCACAGACCTACCGTATAATAGACTTTGTGAGAGTCCCTGCGCTTCAAGAGAATGAAGAGCCTAAAAAGATCAGGGATAAAGTCCTCCACATAGGTTATGACCCTTGTCGCTCAGGACGAATTGCTCTGGTTGCAGGAGACGGAAGCAACAAAATGAAAATCATCACAGCACCACACGAAATGAAGGTCGGAGATGTAGTCACAGCCTTCAGAGGAAAGCCAGAGTCAATTGCGAGGTTGAAACCTGGCGATGCCTACCCCTTGACGCATCTTCCCATTGGCACTTTGGTGTACAATGTTGAACTAGAGCCAGGAAAAGGTGCACAGCTGGTGCGAGCAGCCGGTACATGTGCACAGATTCTAAACAAGACTGAAACTACAGCCAGGTTGCGACTGCCTTCCAAGGAAGAGAAAGACATACCACTAGATTGTTTGGCTTCATTAGGAAGGGTTTCTAATATTGATCATAAAAATAGAGTTATTGGTAAAGCAGGCAGAAATCGTTGGCTCAATAGGAGACCAAAGGGTCAAACTGGTACAAATCGCACTTTGTGGAAGAAGAAACGAGTGTGAAATCCTCCATGGCTAACCGTTCAATTCATAAGTCAGTGCCCATTGACTTCACAAACTGCGCAAGGTGCTACTCAATAGCCCTCATTTAGTTACTAGAATGATTTTTGCATGAAGACCTTAAGACTTTTTATTCCCTGCACAACGTTGTTAACAAAACTATGGGAAAGTGCTTGGCAATCGGTGTCTAGTAAATTTGAAGGATCGCATGCCATGACTTCATTTATAAGACCATTACTTTGTGTTCATGTCCAATGCTGTAATTTGCAAACTGAGCTGAATCCTCCTTCATAGCTAGAGCTTCAAAGAGCCTACACTTTATCAACTTTGTCTCGGACTTGTAAGGAAACAAAACAATTGCGATCCTCGTTTCATTATATTCAATGAACGACCGGCTCTTGTGTGTTTTGGCCGTCTTTCGTGGCTTATCTTTTTTGCCTGGGGTATAAATCAACTTTTCAGAGAATCGCACAGCTCAGAGAATTTTCGCATCCTGATTGGTTACCTAGGCGAGGTATTGAGCGTGGAATTGCGACTCTTGATCTGAAAGCGAGGCAGGCTTTGCGTGATACGGCACTGGAGCGACAACAAAACAACAACTCAAAAACAATTAGAAACCATGACCTTTTAATCATGTTTTCAAACCCATTGTCGCGGTCCACGAAGTCAAGTCTTTTTGAAAGTGGATTTCTATTGGCCGGCTCCTGACAGTCTTGACAGTTGATTCAACTGGAGTGGCTTTTCTCGAGTGCGCGTTGAATATTGCAACATTCACACAGACTTTATGAAACGGGGGCTTTCTACCATTTAAAAAGAAGGCTATGCGATTCAAAAAGAAAATTCATATCGCGACTCGTGAATTCCACTTACGTTAAATTTCACTTGAAAAACTTATATCGCACTCATCGCTTTGCGATTCGTGCGATATCTTTTTTTCGCGTGAACTTTAACGTACGGGGAATTCCCTCGTCAGGTAGTCAATTTTCCTATAGTACTGTACGTTTTTTAGAAAGGTAGCTCGCGAGTCAGTGGCAACTGCCACTGCCCGATGGTATTTTGGGCCCCGACCACACTATAAATGCGTCCTAGTCTGAAAACACATGTACTTTTTGATGTGTTTTCGCCTATCGTCCACACTGAAACGCCCGAAAACACTGATGAAAACGGAGACATTCGAAAACGGCTTTTGAAGACGCATCGTTTCTAGCCGGTCGACAGGTAAAAACGGAGGCTTTTGAAAACGGCGACGAAAAAAGCGTCATAAACCTTGGTCGCTTCCATTGGCATTTTCTGGCGTTTTACTGAAAAAAACACATTATATTAGTGGTTGCAAGACTCTGTCCACACTTGAAAACGGAGGTTTTATCCCTGTTTTCATAAAAGTAGGCGTCCGCATGTACGGTGTAGTATTGGACTCGTTTTCGCCCGCCCACTCGAAAACGCTAAAATCCGGGTACCTTACGGAGCACGCGCAATGCTAGTAATATGTGAGCTCGCATGCCGGCAGCGATTCGTGCCACTTGGCACTACTTTTGTCCCCAGAGGCTGGGCTCCTTTTGTTCAGCATCAAGAGTCGCGACCCAACTTTCTAGGCATGTGCAGAGAATTCGTTTTGTATTATCAGCCAATCAGATTTGTCAGACTTGACTCTGAGCCAGACTTGACTCTGAGCATTCGCAGAGTGACGGGAAGTCCGTGAATTGCGGACTTAGTTCTTCCCAGAGGGGAAAAATATAACGCCCGGGCGGAG